AAAAACGTCCCCTCGGTTGGTCCGTGTCCGTGCGTAGAACAATGATAACGAGCTCAAAACTATAAACGACGTCATCTCTCACAGTCCCCCCCCCCTCCTTACCACTGTACTTTATCCTCTTGCGCTCACCTCCGGGGAAAAACGTGCATCTGGTCTTCCGTGCGCTTTCGACACACGCACACAATAGGGCGCGCACTCACACCTCACCCGGTGCATCGTCAACAACAGTGATTCATAAAAAGCGCATTGCAGGGGACGCCATCAACAAGGCGGATCCTACGTTTTCCGAGAAAACGAGGCCCGACGTGGAAATGCAATCGACGGGGAGGAGTACTGGAACCAACATTGGTCAGGCCATCGGGGAAATCAGCTCAGGGACGCCCTACGTCAAAATAATCGAGCAACCGGCGAGCAAGGCTTTGCGCTTCAGGTACGAGTGCGAGAGCAGGACGGCCGGCAGTATACCCGGTATCAGCAGCACACCCGAGAACAAGACCTATCCGACCATACAGGTGAGCTGGAAAAACACCCATACTCAATATATGTATTCACTCGTCCCTTGGACTTTGGGGATGCAGGTTTTTTCTTTTTTCATTTGATTCATGGTTTATTATTATTATCATTTTTTTTTTTTTTGTAGATCGTAGGATTTAGGGGTCGAGCGATCGTCGTGGTGTCGTGCGTGACGAGGGACTCGTCCTCGAGGAGCTCGTCCTATCTACCGCATCCGCACCATCTGGTTGGCAAGGAGACCTGCAGCCGGGGCGTTTGTACAGTCGAGGTTTCCGCGGAGGACAACATGACGGTCGTTTTTAACAAACTCGGCGTCCAGTGCGTCAAGCGAAGGGATATCGAGGACTCGCTCAGACAGAGGGAAGAAATGCGGGTCGATCCCTTTCGAAGTGCGTTTCGTTACTACCGCTTTTACTAATTTTTTTGGTGAAACTTTAACTGTGAACTTTTGTTTATTTTTTTTTTCGTTGCTTCAGCCGGTTTTGATCACAAGCGTCAGCCGACGAGTATAGACTTGAACGCCGTGAGGTTGTGCTTCCAGGCGTTTCTGGAGGGTCCGGTCAAGGGCGAGTTTAGGATCCCCCTTATGCCAGTCGTTTCGACGCCGGTTTACGACAAAAGTTAGTTTTATCTTCAAATAATCAAACGAGATTGAAACAAAAGAAAAAAAAAAAAAAAAAAAAAAAAACTATGGAGTCCAACAACATTAGCGAGGGAGGCGTCAGTATAACGGACGTGTGTAAGTATTTTTTTTTAATTATTTTTTTTTTCCACCAAATTACTTATTCTTGTTTCCGTGTATCATACGATGATGCACGATGATATAAAACATGAGGTTGTTGAAGCGCACGGAAGATGCCTCTGGCGCCGTTTTTCTTCGAAAAATACCATTTGGAATTTTCGAAACTTAGAAATAGACACATTGCGCGCTCATAAATAATACCCAGTGCACGTATGCATCACACACAGTGCATGTATATTATACGTATAAAATATTTTTCTGCATTCCATCGTCATTTAATTTTAATGACTCAGCGGGAATTGCAAAGTGGTACGTTTCCAAAATAAACCGTCAAAAGCGAGAGTTTAATCACGAATCAAGTTTTGAATATGGAAACCAAATACACACGACTAGATTTAATTTTCGTATGCTGACTTATTTGTTCCCATTAAAAATATAAGTAAACGGCAAAATAAATTTTTCACGTCACTTGTGCTATTGGTCCACATTTATTGACACAATGCTGGAGTTGTTTTTAAAATGAATACATCACCAAAACATTAAACGATAACGATAATCATTTCTTCTTCCATTTACAAACAGATTACCTATTTACAAATAGATTACCTTTAACCTGACTTATTTAAAATCGTGACCCACTAATTTTTCAGTCTATATCTCGTGAGATAATTGTCGCTCCTCCAAATAATCAAGGTTAATTATCACGAGATGATACGACAAAACACCGAAACACATTATGCGTCGGAAAAGTGATAGAAAATATTACAAAACTTTGAAAGAACCAAGAATAACTTCATCATTGTTGCGTAGATTTGCTCGCATCGTATAGGGAATTATTTTCAAATTAAGATACAATTAAAATAGTATGTGATAAACGTCCGATTTTTCGAAGTTATCGACGAAAACGAATATTTTCAAGGTACACTTGGTCATGAAAAAATGCCGTTTACTAAAATGTGTCGATTCGAAGTTGAATATCCAGAGAAAGGCAAACCGAATCTTAATAAAACTTTTTCCACTTGCTTTTTCGGCTGGTTTTTGAAGTTTCAACATTTTTCTTTGGGACGAAAACTACTTTTCGTATAAATTATACCTCAAAACGTCGATGGGCCACGATGATTGTACACTTTGCTCTTCGCTTGGACTGATATCGCGGTTACTTTGAAGCTGATAATTCAAAAAGTGCAACTCTAAGAGCTGATAAAAAAAATCAATGTATGTTTATTGATTAAAATTATCTCTTTTTATAATTATTATTGTAATTTACTTTTTTTTTTTTATCCAGACATGATGATATTGAAAAAAACTTCAAGAAAATACATTTCATTCATGTTTAACTTCAGCGTATACATATGTACAATCAAGTTTACAGTTAAATGCAAATAATATGACTGTATACATACGTAAATGTAGGAGAACGTTAATCTTCGTTAGTAAATAGGCCCAGCTGATTCCACGCATACGTTCTACTTCATTATACGTATAAGTACATATGTTAGATAACTTCAGTTTCGTCTCAATTTGGGTCGAGACAGCTTCACAGCAGAGCTTTACCGTTCACCACCGTACGCGTACACTTACCTACCTCAACTTTCACGTAAAACTCTCGAAGTAAGCCTCGCGTTAAAAAAGTTTGTAACTTAATCGTGGAGCCAAAAGTTTAATCGTAACGCGAGAATTGAAAAACGAAAAAAATCGAACGAAATGAAATAAGATCTAAAAAAAGAAGAA